CATTTGTAAGAAGGACGTATTCACCGTTTTACCATCAGGCTGTTTGTTTACACTCTCCCTCCTGCTTTCTGTCGCTTTTACTACGTCACAGTCAGTTGCGCTCATTGGTCAGAGCATTGGCCAATAGGCACAGACATGGCTTAAAAAAACAACAGATTCTTCTCATCAACAATCTTTCGATGTCTCATTCATTGGGGTCAGACTAAATTACACATTTAATCTCGCAAACTTTCTATGCCAGATGCCCTACTTCTGTAATTTGAACTCAGGCGCCCCACATGGCATTAGGAGACTTACACCACTACTCTATGAACGACCCCTTATTTCAGCTTCTATGTATAAAGAACCAAAATTACTGAAATTAAGAAGCTGCTTTTGAAAAATTTATATGCTTTTTCAATTTTAATGTAATTTATTTCCTGGATATCAAGAAGTCAGGAAATCAATTACCCGTACCCTTAGGCTTTTGCTGTCTGCCAGGAGTATTCAAAGACAGCGAAGGTACTAGCATTTTTTAAAGTGCAGGGTGATAGGAAACATAACCTTCGCTCAGTGGGCCTATAAAAACTGACAAAACGAACTTGCATGAGAGGCATAATTAACAGTGTAAAACAAACAAAAAAGCAAATCTTTGTGAAATTCTCAGCCTAGCATGCATTTATAGGAATCATAAAGTTATAGGGGTTTCATGTCTATGCAGGAAGAGGGAGGGTCATTCAAAGTTGTCAAAATGTTTTTTCCTCTTGTCATGTGGCTCCTCCAAGGCCCCATCACTTGTCACAGGTTTTTTTTTCAACGGTCACGTACTGATGCAACACATGATACCGACACTACATCAGGGCTGAAGGCGGGCCAACCTGCTTTCATATCAGCTTCAGTCATCTCCTCAACATCAGGCTTTCAACCATTCAGGATTTCAGGATTCACTTTAAAGTTAGGACAAATTCATGTCTCCAGCACCTTTTAATGGCTTGCAGACAAAGTTAGAAAGATCACAGTAAACTTTTACCTATATAATTATATAATTGTAATATATCTAGTATTTAATTATTATATATTTGTAACTGCAATTAGAGTTAAAGAAAAATGTGATTGTAGTCTCACAGTGGAAGCCATCTACATCAAAGTGACTTTCGGAAAAACAACATTTTCATCAATCAAACTTAAACGTTGTGTCACAAAGAATGAGCGTGTGTTTTCCTGCAGGCCATAATACATCACTGTAAACCATCAGCAGCTGCAGGGAGTTAACGAAAATAAAACCAGCTGCACAAGGAGAAGAATTCAACAGAAACAGCCCAGAGATCACAAGTTCTCTCGTTTTTAAAGACGACTGGTGACTTTCTTTAGATAAATCATAGAAATTCACCTGCAGGTGACCTAAAATAATCAGTATTTGAATAATTGGGAAATAAACGGTTTTATAAGTTACTTCGGCTTCTCTGTGTACCAATAGGTGAACAGCAGAGGGCAATATTTCTTCAGTCTATCCACTAAAAATGTTTGTTTGTTATGTTAAATAAGAAAAATAAAAAAGCAAAAAAGTAAATGATAATAATAAAGCATCATTATTTGTATTTTTGCTTTTTCTATTGTGAAGCTGCCTGTGAGCTTTAAATAACGTGGGTAATAACACCATTTTATATGAAATAAATCATATCTAAGTTAAATAACTTTTAATAGTTTTTAAAAAACACCTTTAGGATATAATCAAAGACTGATGTTCCAACTAAACCAACATCAAAACAGGAATTATTAATTCTATTCCTCACAGATGCCCATAATTGAGAAATGTTTTGAATATATGTTCACCAATCAGTAATATGCTGTTTCTTTAAGTGTCAGCCTCCTGATGGTGCAACGGTTGTTAGGAGCATTCTAATGTAATCCATGCAGACTGAAGTGTAAATTCTCTATACACTGAGACCAGTATTATTATTCAGTACAAATGGTCCTCTAACACAAAATGCATGTCAAACTGTCATTGCAACATAAATTGTTCTAAATATCTCTGAGTATTTCTTGGAACAGTTGTCCTCTGTCACCTAGAGGTGTTTGTCCGAATACTAATTGGAGCACAAGAAAGAGTCCCATTGATGATGAGCACAATGAATGAGCAACACAAGCAAAAACAGAGGAATCCTATCACTGCATCCTTTTTTCCCCACACACACACACACACTGGCCGGTGTTTGCGTGTTCACCGCCTGCTGTCTGTACTGAGACAGTGACCCTCACAATGGTGCTTTTGTACGAGGCGAATAGAGGCAGGGGAAATCAGATCCAACTAAACATCTTCTCCAGCTGTCACTCCCAGACCAGTGTGGGCAAAACAAATGCGTCTGAATTCACATTTTTTTAAACTTGACCCCGATCATACAGATTTTTTTTTATCCAAAAAACACATTTGCATGAACCTATCACGGAAAAATGTATTTTAATTAATTTGTGTTGAGTTTTGCATAACCTTTTCCATCCAACTTCTATTGTTTTGCTTCAGGCATGTTTAAGCAACACTACTTGCAGGCTTCATTCTAGCAACTGAAGGAAATGAAGGAGAACCTTCTTTCCCCTTTAATGTGAAATTGGCCGTGTGAAAGAGCATGTTGGATCTAGTCCTGACTGACATTGTTTTTGTAGTCCCAGGTCCGGGTTTGAGTTATTTTAGATTTGTTCAAAGTCTTATGAGGAAGTTACAAATGTGAAAAAAAATCACTTGGCATGATATTATATAAATTAAGAGGAGTTGGGCACAAAGATTAAAGATAAGCTGACAAAGTAAAGCCAATTAAAAAATAATACCTATAAGGTATTTAAAATATTTTTTCAAATTCAAAACCATTGTTATGTATATATTAGGCACTTATTTACACAAGAGTTAATAAATTCATTAAAGACATGGAGTTTGAAGGATATTCCACACCAGTGATCCTTTTCTCTAAAGGTTATATTGAGAACTGAACCTGTGTTCAGATTAAATAATACTACTTCAGCGATAGTATCTAGGTGTTACTTTATTGTATGTCTCATTCCATGTCTGTTGGTTGTGCTGTTCTTGTTACATCTCTTTGCAGGTGATGAAGCAGACTGAAAATGTTTTATCATTATCTCCCTTTTTATCTCCTCTTTCTTTCATATTTTCTCCTTTTTTTCTGTTTTTCCTCTTCTGTTCTACTTACATTACAGTGTCCATATAATCTGTAAATCTCCCTGCATGATTATAATAAATCAATTTATATGCATGAAACAAGCGGAACACTATGGTGATAGCCCTACCGCTCCACTTGTGAAAGTAAAATCTGTTGGGCTCTTTTTGGCATCAAGACAATTATTCTTATTGCCATATTGCCAGACAGGTCACTGTAAAAAAAAAAAAAAAAAGAAGAGAGAAGTGAACATGTAAAGCACTGCTTATAAGAGTAACTGGATCATCAATAAGTAACAGTAACAAATCAAGATAACAGTTTTAATTTGAACTGCTGTAATATTTTTATACCAGTTTAAATGAGCAACAACTATGAGACGTTTGTGATTGGCTCTTAACCTATGGGCTTCAGTCAATATGGATACCTACCTTCATATAACAGCCTTACACTTCTATCAATTATCTCCTCACAACTTTAAGGCCATAATCTAAAGAATTTAAAGGCAGAGACAAAAAAACATATGAGGTCCCACCACAAGGATATTATTTTTTTTTCCAATTAATCAAGATCAAACTAGTAACCATTAAGTCTGACCATCAAAGGTCTCCTGACTTGAAAATAGTGCCGTACAAGTAGAGGCCATTTACCAATTAAATTACATGCTTTCATACAGTTACCCAACTTTTCTATCAACCTCTGTTAGTAACATGAATGTGACTCCAGACCCTTAGAAACCCAGAGCTTATCTCATGCCCACAGAGTTTCCATTAATCCACCATACTCACTTTCATATTTAGCTGTATGGTGTTGCATGGATGTATTCCCCTTTCATACCAGAACTGCTTAGTTCCCGAAGGGCAGCCAAAGAGCAGTGTGATGGCACATTTTTTCAAGGTGTTTTATGGCAAACAAGGGTTAATAGTTCACATTAGTTTGTCATGACTGACTGACAAAGGTGAGCTACATTCAGCCATTAATTACCAGGAGTTGTGTGCAGTTAGCTACTCTAAAAAGTCATAAAAAAGAGCCCCTGATTGGGTACCTGGAATCAGTTAAACCCAAACCATTATCCGCTCCTAAGCCAAATGGAAGAAAATGAGTATAACATAGAAAACCTTTATGTTCTGCAAATTCAAACAAATATAGAAAAAATAGAAGAAATATGGATATATTAATTGCATTAATTGCATTTCATCTCATGACATGAGAATAATGTTGTGTTTATATCTACTAACTTATTTTTCTGCCTTTTTCATCCTTTCTTAGTCAACAATATATTTCAATGCTGATGATAATGGAAAATGTTTCATGCGTAAACATTATGGCTGTTCCAGAGGATAAACTGTAAAAACCAACCAGTAAATATAACTTCTGCCATGCATAGGTAAATTAAAACTCATTTTCAGATAGAATAGAACAGAATAGATTAGAACAGAACAGATTAGAATAGCACACAGAGTCACAACATCACTTAAAAATCCACACAGGAAAACATGGAAAAACAATCTTGTAGCAATAAAATGCACATTTAAACACATTTATATTTTTACATTGATATTTTGGTGACTGTGATGTTGCTAGTTTGCCTTTAGCCACAAGCATTCATAGATTCGGTCCCTGTTTAGGTTTGATTTGGCTTTTTTTTTTTTTTACCATTAGTTTAATCTTTTTGCAATCAGCTTTTTATTTCCACTGTCGTCATTTTATAGTTGACACCACAAAACAGAAAGAAAGCGTGTGACTGTCAGACCGTCATTGGGTCATTAACATCTGGAGCAGAGAGGACAGCCGTCCTGTTTACACATTGTTAATGACAGAGAGGACCTTATGACCAGATAGAGGAAAGTGGGGGGGTGGAACTGAGACAGTTGAACATTCAGCATTCTGACCAAAGAGCCAACGGAAATAAAGGACAGACATGAATTAGTTTGAGAATTATTCACAATATCCTTTATTGGACACCAAGAAGACCTCGCAGTCATGTCGGACAGTACAGGGGGCTGACCGGGAAATTGGACACCAATCAGTTATTCAGGTTTGTCATTTATGATTTAAAATACAATAGATTTTGAGATCATTAATGGTGGAACATAAGGAATGTTTTATTTACAGCTGTTTCTGTTATTAACTGTTTTGTCACCATCAGTTGTGTTCAGTGAAATCTGAATTAACTTAACATGCTTTCTTTTGCACTACAGGAGCTGAGAGAAATGACCTCCTTCAAAGGGAACTTTGTCAGGATTACTTTTATAACATTAAGTTACTTGTCCTGTACTTCTGCCTCATATAACCCTCACAGAACAGGTACAAATGCTACTTTATGTCATCATAACCAGAATCAATTATGTAATTCATTATTAATTGTTTTTCATTCCTGTATTTGTCATTTTAAGTCAAATCATGCTCTTGTAATAGTCAATACAGTAATGTAGAGTACATTAAGCACTAATTATTGATCCCATCTGCCTGATTTTGGATATTTCTGATTTTAAATGTGTATTGGAACTGCAAAACATTCATTTTAGCCATTATCATGGTACAAACATATTAGCAATCTAATTTAACTACTAGTAGATAGTAATAGAAAATAATAATCAATAATAACTAGGGGAAAAAAATGGAACAACCAATATAACATATGTCTTAGTGGATGGCCATTATGCATCTTGAACTAATTTCTGTCAAACTACAGATGTGGCTAAACAGGGAGGATATGTAAGGAGGGCTGGGTGTGCCTCATTGGCATTTAAAGAGACATCACCAAAACCAGAGAAAACACCTAAGAATACCTTAGAAAATCAGTTAAACAGACACCTAGCCAAAAAAACTATGACAAATCAGATCAAAGCATTGCAGTTCCAGTAAATATAGACCAAAACTGAATGACATAAATACAAAAAGGGATGATTTTGAAAGCATGATATGTCTCCTTTAAGTCATTGACTTAGCAACAATTCCTTCTCTTGTTCAAGCATGTGCTAATAGAGAACAAAAATAAAGCTGGGAGTAGGGTAATATATAAGAAAAAAAATAAAAAGTTGCATCTTTGACTATACAGCTAACACAGGTTGGTGTCTTGCTAGATATAACATATCACATGAAATTGCTTTTTATCAGTTTTACCCAAAAAAAAACTTTTTCTACATAGATGACTTGTTTGATATGATATGTTGTTTTACATACAGAACCAGGAACACTAAAGAAGCTTCAGTATCTCCTTGAGCCACCTGTGCAGGTCGAGGTGACTGGCCGAAGGGGAGATAATGTCACCTTACCTTGCATCCTCAGAGTCCAACCTAACCACTACAAGATTAAATGGACAAAGCTGGAGTCTGAGAACAACGGGCGTCAAAATATCATAATGATATCGAATGCAAATGCTTTTAAGCCGTACGGCCCGGTGGGACAGCGGGCTTCTCTCCAGAGGGCTCACACCATGGACGCCTCCCTGATGCTTAGGCATCTTGAGCTGGGGGATGATGGCAGGTATCGGTGTGAGCTGATAAATGGCATCGAAGATGAGAACATTGTCATTACTCTGAGGATTGAAGGTAACTAGAAACTCATTTAAAAAAAATCTTCATGTAGGTCTTTGATGGTACATTTTTAAGGCAGTACCTTAAGTGCATCAAAAGGGGTTTCAGATCTCTTAAATTTAGTTGATAAGCTATTTCTACTAGAGTTGTGTTTATACCTGCATGGGGGCAGAGTTTTATGAGGGCTTAGGGATAAAAGCTGCCTTTGTTTTTAGGTGTGGTTTTCCCATATCAAAGTAAGCATGGACGTTACAAATTCAACTTCCATGAAGCCATGCAGGCTTGTGCTGAGCAAGATGGTAAATTAGCCACCTACAATCAGCTTTACAAAGGTATGACTATTAGTCTAACCCTGTACTTCTTATATGCAACATTGCTTGTGCTGTTTGGCCCCGTCACATTAACCTACTTCATCTTGCAGCCTGGACTGAAGGGTTGGACTGGTGCAATGCAGGTTGGATTCATGATGGAACAGTTCATTATCCAATCGTTCATCCACGACCGGTCTGTGGAGGAAAGTTGCCAGCTGGCATTCGCAGTTATGGGCCGAAAAATAAGGACAATGATCGGTTCGATGCTTTCTGCTTTACATCCCAGATATCAGGTAAGTGGGAGAGCAAAGTATGAAAGGAAATTGGCTTTTATCCACCCTGTCCTAAATCTGGATGGATAATCTAATAACTCACGTAACAATTATTGTGTGAGAAAAAAAAAAAAAAAAAAAGTTCTGTTTAAACATCCAGGCTAATACTAAAAAGAAAAACCCCAACATAACCAACATCATTCAACGTTAAATACTGACTGACTCTTAAATCCTTTTGAGAGTTCCATGCAGTTCAAAGATGTTCAATGAGTTCAATGATGATAATTCTACATGCAAAGAGACAGGAAGATGTACTTAGGACCTGAGGAAAACCGACAGCAAACCGTAGCTTTAAGTAATGGATAAAAACAGGTTCAAACAACCAATGATGAGACACACATAAAAGGAATCTGCTATCTGAGAGAAAGATGGTTAGCTTGGGATAAACAAATGGGAAAAACTAAGAAAACCTTTTCAAATATACCAACATAACCTATAAGGAAAGCCAAAGAGGGTAGTGGCGGCCTATTGGTTAGGGCATGGAGCTTGGAATCCTGGGGAGTTCAAAATCCACTCCCACAGACTGCCACTCTAGGTCTCTGAGTAAGACCCTTAACCCCTGATTGGTCCCTGGATGCCCCACAATGGCAGCCCACTGCTCCCCAAGGGGATGGGTTAAATATGGAGGTTCATTTCTCCAATGTGAGATCAATAAAGTTAGATTATTATTAATGATCTTTTTAAAAACAAGAATTACGAAAGAGGATTATCCCAACAAAAAGGCAAACAAAATTAAGATGGCAAACCAAAAATGGCCACAATAATAGAATACGGCAAGTCCTAAAGAAAAAAGCAAAGCAAAAAGCTAACGCCCGAAGACGTTACATCCAGAAGCATCGGCTGGAACAGGAAGACGACCACTCAACGCGTTTGACCATAACGGGTCAGAGAGGAAGGTTTCCAACCTATCCTGCTGTTTGTTATGAAATGTTTTATGTTTTTTGGTAACATAGAGTTTAATTCAGAATCTCCCAAAGTTAAACTTTATATAAGATCACTTAACAATTATTTTACAGAAATGTCAGACTTATGCAAGGTATGTTCATTTTTATATAGCCAATACTTACCACAGAACAAGACCAAGTAGAAGACAATTGCAAAAAGAATGGAAAGTGTCCCATATATGCCACCGTTTTGTTTTGTTGCTGGATTTATTTGGGATTGTCATAATATATGCCAACAATGTTTCTCGGATGAGTTATTTCCAGGAAAATTTTAATTATTTATCCTTTTTCAAATTTTTCTGCAGTAAGCCATTTTGTGTTGGTCTGTGAGATAAAATATGAATTGAATAAGGCATATTGATAACTGTGCTGCACAGGTAATCATCAGATAAGGAATATAAGAAAGAGCTGTATGTATTCTTAATTAAAAGTATGATAACTTGTATCACAACATCAGACTCCTTCAATCCTTTTAATTGATCATTTATCAAATTCAAATTTTAGCTGAAAATAGTCATAAGCAGTAAATAAATGAGCAAAGAGTTCACTAGTTAGAAACATTCAGTATGGAAAGATTCCAAACAGTCACAACAAAATGTCAAATCTTAAACTTTTAATCCCAACATGTCATTTTGTGAATTTTTTATGTGTTTTTGTGTCTCTGTCTTGGTGACAAAGGCTCCGTCTACTACATATCAGGATCCTTCTCCTATGACCAGGCAGTGCTGGCCTGCAAGCGTCAGAGTTCAGAGTTGGCTTTGGTCGGCCAGCTTTATGCTGCCTGGCGTTTCCAAAAATATGACCAATGTAATGGCGGCTGGCTGAGAGACGGCAGCGTACGATTTCCCATCATCAACCCCAGGAAACACTGTGGAGGCATCCCAGAGGCAGGGGTCCGCTCCTTTGGATTCCCAAGCAAAACAACTCACCTCTATGGAGCATTTTGCTATAGATAACCCATGTTACAAAGCAAAAGAAATCAGTTTTTATAGGACCTTGGCATCCAAGATTGAAAATGGTTAATAAAGATATTAGAAGCTGCTGAAATCTATGGTGTAACAAGAAGTAAAGCAAAATAAGAAGGACATAAAACATTTAACAGTACATATGAACAATCAACTTAGCCTCTAACAGCTACTTTACTGTTGCGGAAACCTTCCAGAGTTTCAATGTAAAATGTGTTTCTATCCTGCTTCCTGTGAGTGTAATAAAGGGGGATTAAACTTACTTCAAAGACCAATAGAAACCAGAATTATTCAATTTAAAATCAGTTCTACAGTAATTGAGTCCTCTAACTATTGTTGTGTTTTCCCCTAAGTTGTTTTTAATTTACTTTCATATTTGAGTTTTTTTTATTATAACCCCATAGCAAAAATATTTGTCAAATTCATACTCGCCTTGATTAAAAATGAGCCTACTCTTAAAAGTCAAGAATGTAACATACTAAAAGAAAATGATGATAGTTTTATCAATGTCACCAGTTGTAATTTATTGTCTCTAAAACTGTATATCATTTGCTTATAATTCAGATTTTCTTGTTTTATGCTGTAATGATCTCAAGGTGTATCAACAGATTTTATGTAATAATCATAAAGGGAAAAGTTTGAGTGTCAAGCAAACACATTCTGTACTTAAGTTAGTTAATTGTTGTCTTTTTCCTTTGACATAGTAATAAAGTGTGAAATGCAGAATCAGTCTGTAAGCTTGAGAAATCTACAGAAAGTCAGGAATGGGGTAAAATCACTGTAAGTGAAAACATAAATGTCTGAATTGATAAATGTAGGTCAATAAACACGAATAGATGTAAGATTTGTATTTGTTATTTGTCGTCAAATCATTCATATGGCGCATCGGATTTTGTATCTGCGCCAATAAAAGTTACAAAAACAAGAGATAACTTTTTAGCAGTACAAGTACAAATCATCAATTTATGAGTAAGAATCTAGAATTTAAACTTGTGCCATCACAGATTAAAAAATCCAAAATCACATATGAGAATCATTGGACAAAAAAAATATATTTTTTCTTTAAGTTTTTTTTTTTTACTTATATTAAGAAGTTTAGAAACCTATGAATGGGATTTTATTGACCGTTACCTTTTGCATAAATGCAAACTTGGCCCAACGTACTGTAACAAGGATCTTCAGGAGGCAAGGCTGTCATTGGATTTGGAGTTGGAGCGACAAGATATGATGATGATGATGATGATGATGATGATGATGATGATGATGATGATGATGATGATGATGATGATGATGATGATGATGATGATGATGAATAAAGTTCCCCCTGATTGCTCCATACAAAAAGTTGTCCAGTTATGCATTAGGGTGATGTAAGAAACTAAAATTTTCCCCAAAATTACAGATATTAATAAGTACCATGAACTGCAACCAAATCCTCTTAATATAGTTTTCTGAAATGTAAAGAAATTCAAAGGAATAATTTGATTCAGTCATTGAAACATCCTGTATTTCCAACAGTTTGACAGGCAAACCTAAGCATTCTTAACACTTCAGTTGTATATAACATCAGTTTTAGATTAGAAGTGCATTTTATGTAAAATTATACATAAAATAGCCAAAAACATCTTTACTACAGAAGAAAATGTATTATAATCAACTACGCCATTATTGAGGGTATGTCCATCCAGTCATTTTCTTCACCCTCTCAGTTCTGTTTAGGGTCTGAGGGGTCGGCAGCCTACCTGCTTGGATATAAATGTCAGAAAGCATCATGCTGAGATTTAAACTAAAGATCTGTGAAGTGCACAAAGGGACGGCGCCATCCAAGCTTTGAATATATTTGTAGTCATGGGCCAATTTTTAATTACCGGTACATTTCTGTTTTTTGTCTGGTTAATTTATATGAGCTATGAAATTTAGGCAGATCTGACACAGCTGCCTTGATAACTCAGTCTGACTCATTATACAGTATGTAGAAGAATGGAGAAAAATGTAAGTATGTCACAGATGGCTGACTGTCATGCCAATGGTGACGGCTTCACATCATCAAATCAAATCCATTTTCATCCACATGTTCACAACAGAATATGTGAAGTTTACCACATTATGGAAAACAAAACAGTATTTGTGTCTTTACTTTCCTAAAAATTGTTATCCTTTTTTCCCTTGTCTTATAATGATCTTTTCAAACAAACTGTGATGATAACTAACTCCTCTTGTTCATCCATTAAACCAAACAGCATGTGACATTAATCAGATTTATTCATTATTCTTCCCATTTTTTTTTTGTAAAAGAAATATTTAAGAAAAACTGGGAATTAACCTTGCTGCTCTCATACACTAATGATGAAGATCTATAGAGAATCCCTCTGAATGCTGCAAAGCCAGAACATTCAGTATAAATTGGCCCATTAGGAGAATGAAAGTTTCACCTGTAAAACCACCAGTTGACTGTAATTGGCCTGTAGATTGAAACTGGGACGGAAGAAAGGACACCGAGCCACATGGCGAGTTGTTTAACTGTTTAGAGACGTGACAGGTGCTGTTTCCCTAAAATAGTGATCAATACCCTTCAATGAAGAGAAAAACTATTTTGATTTATTTATGTTTTTTGTGTTGTAAATAAATAAAAATAAAAATCACATCTATAAATAAACAGGGACCAAATATTCATTCCTTCATAAAGACTTTAATCATTTTCATAGTTAAAATCAACCGACAGCTTTTAAAAGTATAAATTCCACTTGCTATAAAATGACATTTTCCCTCTTTATTGCATTTTTAGAGAATACATTAATCCTTCATCCATAAAACAAACATTTAATGTGAGCTTTGTTATTTTTTTGTAATACAGTATGCCAGAAAATAATTATGAGCAATATTTGCATCAGCTTCAGAATATGTGCTTTTCCATCATGTAGAAAATTGTCCCATTTTAGCAAGAAAACTGCAAACTTTGGGAAAGTGTAAGAGTTATTATAATACTGTAGAAAAAAGAAACTCATGAAGGCTAAAGAGACAGTGACATAGAGGAAAATAGAAAGTGAATAAAACAGCACCAGGAAACAAGCAGAATTAAAACTAGTGTTGCACCGATGCCATTTTTTGGCCCCGATATCGGTAACCGAAACCTGGCTGTGCAGTATCGGCCGATACCGATACCATCTGTTTGAAATTGATGTGTGTGTATATATGAAGAACTGCATACTACTTGGATGTAAAATGTTGGATTCAGGAAATGTAGATTTGCAAATAAATAGAAATTGAGTCTGCACAGGAAAGAGGTTCAAGCAGCTTCTGCAGGAGCGGAAGGAAAAGCCCGACCCAACTTTAAGCTTTCCTTCTCCGAATCCCCTCCTGCAGCCGTCTTTTATTAACAGAACATAGCACATGGTCACAAAACAGTATTTGTTCTGACAAAACAATTGATCAGTTCATAAAGACAGGATGCTCCACCAGAATCACGAGGCAGGATGGTCTCCTGACTGCATCACAAGACACAGTGCAGCATCCCCCTTGCACAAATGATTCATAAGCACACATTCATTTTATAATCATCATTGAATAAACCTGACAAAAATAATGGTCATCATGGCTTTGTCAAGCTGCTGCCTACCTTTGTGAAGCAGGAAAAAGGCTAATACAAAGTGATTCCAGTAGAACTTTTTATTGCCTACCTGGAATGGGTGACAATAGTGGAAGAAACTTTTGGCTCTCAAAATGGTATTAGTGCCCTATTTGTTGGTACTTGCAGATGCTGATACCACCATTTTAGTGCTGGATCGAGGCCCCGCCCTATACTGGTATCAGTATCGGTGCAACACTAATTAAAACTCTGCAAAACGTCACCAGAACAATCAAGTGGTTCAGGATGGTCTGAGTAGGCTATCAAATTTTCTCTTTCTTTTTACAGCGATAAAACAACTTAACCATTGTTTAGCAGCAGGGAATCAGTTTTTCTGTCAAATCTGGAAATGCTTCCAGCATGTGTTATTTAATTCAGGTGTGAACTCTCACATTGGGATTTTTTATCTGCTACTGAAGGACCAGATTTCTGCATCAGGGAACCATGTTAGCAAGATCAAACAAAAAAGCAGTCAGAAAACAGTCCCCTACCTGCTTGTTTTACAGAAAAAAAAGCACATTGTGTTACTCTAAAGCCTCGGCATAAAAAAATCACAAGCTACTGAGAAAAAAAACCCCATTAGAGAGGCAGCAGGTGGAGATGTACCTCATGTTGCATCATTTTCATAACATGCTAAGAAAAATGCATTTTACAGAAAATTGTTTTGATGTTTTAGTCAGAAAAAGTCAAATCACTCTGATATTATAGAGCTATAGTCAGGTTTGATTACCTTCAGGGGAGAGATCCATGCAGTTTGACCAAAAAATTCTAACATGTAATGGATCAATCAACCATAAATTAGCCTTTAAAGTCGTTTTGAGCTTTATCACATTTATGTCAGTTATTAAAATAAACAAGAACGTCTGGCTTTATATCAGGAACCAAATAAACATCAGGTGTCTTATTGGGTTTAAATAACTGCTTTTCATCATTGAATATAGATGTGTGTTTAGCATGCATTTGTATTCAGCCTCGATTAATCAGATATCCCCAAATAAAAACCAAAGCCTCTTTTACCTCAGATGTTTAGTAAAGAGTTTGTTATTGTTTATCATTCAATTTCATAGGTTTTAATTGATGCATTTTTGTGAAGAAATATGAGTTGAAACGAACAAATCAGTGAAAAAGAATCCAATAACAGTATTAACGGGAAATCCATCTTGCATTTATTGGAAGTCAAAGAAGCTGATTCTGAGTATTCTCATATTCTGAAAGATATAAAACGTGATGACAAAATATTTATGTCTAAGAAATGCAATAAAAAAAAAAAAAATACACATGATGATGATAATAAAACAGAAAAGTTTATCTTTCCGTCTGAATCCATTATTGGATTTACCAAAAACGAAATATTCAGGTTCAGTTTCACTGATAATGTAAACCAGCTGTTTTTATTATTCATTTTCTAAACAGAATACCAGGAGGAATCTCATACTTCTTCAAATATTTTATTATTCCTTTGTAGCAGATTTATTAGCTGTTTTGTGTCATACTTTTACAGAATAGATCCAGATAATAGATCCAGCAAATTACTGATATTTTTACTTGATTTTATACATAAAAATAATTTCTGTATAACATTTCAAAACCATCTTAAAAACATTCTGACGTATTTATCAGATCGGTTGAATTTGTTTCTCTCACACAATCAACCCTAATGAGATCATTCAATGGGAGCCTTTTAGAAAAAATAAAATCAGGGGGAGATGGTGTTTTAAATCTTTATTCTCTTTTAAAGGACAAGATGCCTTTAATCATTCCACTTAAGACGCCAGGAGGGTTGTGCTGCTTTTTCTGTAGCTGCTTTCATGAGCTCCTCATTCTGGTCAGGCTGGGAAGTCAGAGAATCCTCCCTCAATGTGTGAGCTAAAAATGGGAAAACAAAACAGGAACATTTTCTCTGTTTTAGTGTGAAGCTTACAGCTATACATCTGTTTTTCTGTGAGTTGATGAAAACAACTAAACGTTTTGAACTGAGCATGTTCTTCCCAAAACCTAAATAAATCTGCACCTATCTAAAAAAAACAAAAAAACACCTGTTTAACTGATTCTGAAGACAAATTGTTGGTCCACTCTATTAAGCCTGAAAATCAACGCTACTCCAGATCTTTTGAATTCAAACAGCTTTGTGGATGGGAATCAAAACATCTTTAAACTTAAAAAAAAAAAAAAGTCCAGTGGGTTTTTTTTTTTTTTTTTTTTTTTTTTTTGGGAATGAATATTATCTTGAAAAGTGAGCATCTTCACAAGCAAGACAGATGGAGATTCAGCCAATCACAAGACAGATACTCAGTAAATTACAGTATATTTACAGCCAAGCTTGAAAGTTTACACATCCTCCCATTAAAGGAAATTATAAATTCATGCTAGTGATTCAAATAGTTAAAAAAAATGAAAAAAGTCATGATTAATAAAAAAATACTAAATTATAATTTAGTTAAATAAAATATTGATTTTGTTTTTTTGTTTAGAATGAATTATATATATATATATATATATATATATATATATATATATATATATATATATATATGTGTGTGTGTGTGTGTATTTCCTTCTTTTTTTTCAAAATCATTGTCATGATTTCTGTTTTTATCATTTTTATTTCTTATTTAAATTAAAATGTATACTAATGGTAGCTGATTTTTTTTCTGACTTTAATGGAAGGGTATGTAAACTTTCAAGAACAACTGCAGGTGCCTAGATGCGGTGGAGCCAATGTGTTCGGTTGGCTGTTGCAATTAGGTTCCACTTGGTGACTGTGTTAGAGATTGCTTTGGGTTTAACAAAAAAAAAAAAAAAACAGCAATGACTACAGAGATTGAAAGGGAGGTGAGCAAACGAGAGGTTATAAGAATTAAGAAAGATAGAGATAGAGATAGAGCAGTGGAGGGAGGGAAAGGAGAAAAAAAAAACACAAACCAGAATAACTTCTAGAAGTTTTCAGCGGCTTTGTTGGCTTCTTTATGCAGAACCATCTCTCCGTTTTCAGAGAATGGTCAGATAAAGAGAACATATCCATTAAAGGGTTGGTGTTTGGATGAGATGTCAGATTTAAAAAATGGCCAAGTTGTTTAGATGAACAGTAAATTTTTTTGTTTTGTTTTTGTTGTCGCCTTCTGGTGAATACTCCATTAAAAAATCTATTATTTGATATGAATAGAAATACATCCTGGTTAAATGAAGGTTAAATAATTAAAACAAAATACCATGTTATATATAACACCACATCAACATCAAACCTGTCAGCTAAGGACAGGAAACTGAATAATTAAAACAGGCTCAATAAAAGGAGAAAAATAACATTTCAGAAGAAATCTAGACACCATCAGGATGGACCATTAGTGTATCTAGCCCTCTTTTATAATGATCAAAAATGTTTTTGGGTCTTTTTTATACAAGCATATAATGTGACTATACCCCTTTTAGCACAATTTTAATATTAAAAATGTTTTTCATAAATATCCTTTAACAGATAGTCGCAGGCTGCTTCTCTTATTCAATAAAAAAAAAAACTATGTCTGCTATGCTCAGTGATTTTAATAGCCTTAGAATATATATTTAAAAATGCTCTGAATTTTTTTTTACTTTAAAAAATATTTTTTTCTATTTTGATAATTTTAGTGTCAAATTAGTTGCATTAGTGTCACATTATTAGTGACTTTCATACTTGTAAAGTAAGGAGCAACATGGAGACACAGGGGACGGCTTGCTAAGAAAAACGTTCAGTAAACTACAGGAAAAATACAGAAAATATTCTAAATAGATTTTTTCAAACCAAAAAAAAAAAGCCAAAACATTAATAAGTATGGGGAAATTCCTGAGGACCAATGGTAAAAGTACTTGGCTCTATTCTGCAAAGAAATCTAAAGAGAAGATCAACAAAAACTGAAGATAAAAAGTGGAGAGATGGATAAAGGATAAACCTTCAGGAACAAGATAGCTCTCTATGCTTTAAATTAATGTATTCATGTTGGATATTTTTACTCTTTCGCAGATAAAATTGTCTGCATTCATCTTGTTTTGTTGGAGGGAAAATAAGAAGCTAGAATTTACATCATCCTCAGTTTTCACATCACCCTATATGAGTCTGTTACAGTATTTATTTTATTCCAATTAACAATAAAAGGCAGTCCATATAATGAACTCACTTGGTATGCAGGTAATCTGCGGCGCCTCCCAGTGGCCTCCAGGCAGACACTGGATCACAGGATTCAGCTTCTGTATAAAACCCTCCTCACAGTAGTACCGAACCCTGCTGTTGGTCTCATAGCGCGAGCGCTTCTTCCCGTACACCAGAGCGTGTGGGACCCGAGGGGGCTCTCCACAGGATGCTGTGGGGGAAAAGAAAGCTTTAGTAATAACCTTAAAGCAGCAGTGACACTTCCCCTTACAGAACCTTTTAAAAATAGCACCACAAATTGTTGCTGTTAATCAAGTCAGTAATAATAATGATTTAACTTTATTAATCTCACAGGAGAAATTCACCTCTGCATTTAACCAATCCCCGTGAGGAGCAGAGGGCTGCCATTGTGCGGCGCCCGGGGTGGGGTTAAAGTTCTTTGCTCAGGGACCCAGAGCAGCAGTCTGCGGTAGTGGGGCTTGAACTCAGAACCTCTGGGGTCAAGCGCAATGCCCTAACCACTAGGGTGCCACTACCACCATGGTGAAATGTAGGTCTGCCTGTCAAGTAAACCATTTCACTTGCTTCCATTCAGCCTCTTCCTGTTTTAAAGCAGGGTGCTAAAAATCAATCAGTTACGATATAGATAGCATAGTGGATGATTATTTTTTTCCCGGTGGATTATCAAAATAAGTGGTCTTCCTAATTGTCAGTCATTCTGATGATTGACAGCAACTTTTAAACAGAGCGTGCAAGAGGAGAAATGGGCTTGTGCACGCTCTCGTGCACGTTTAATAGACGTTCCCCTCGGTAGCGGGAACAGGGTTGTACATGTGCATTTGTTTTATAAGTGGAAAATTCTCCACAATACCTTTAACAATAATAGAGGTTAGAACATATGGTATTTACAGCTCTACACCAGTTTTTTCACCCTTGTTTTTAAGGTTTCCCCCAGGAATAAATGCCTTGCCCAAATTCTCTCTTCTGGGAGCCTTTTCCCAATCAGTTATCCTTAATTTACATTTTGGACAAAGGTTTTCGTAGCCCTTTTTGCTGGCTTCTCCGTATTATAAACCTTCAAAATTCAAAACTGTTCCATTATCACTAGGAGGTCATGTGTCTGTCAATGCCAGTCGCTTCACATTAGGCTACTGTAAAGCTACACAATGTACCACGAAAACAGGGCTAAAATACTGCCACCAGGTTGATGGAAAGTTGCATATGTTGGTTTTTGACCAAAGAAAGCAAGGGGAGAGGACAGACTTCTCAATTCTTTCATAAACATTTATATGACTGTTATAAGTCAGTTAGAGCTGCTTTAAAATGAGACTCCAAACTGAAAAAGTTATCGTTAAGAGATAGGAACTCACAGACACCCTTCTTGCAGGTGTAGGAGAGGTGGTAGTTGCATGGCACATCGCTCCATCGGCCGCCATCATGCCACACCATCACCGCACAGTCCTCCCCAGACAGGAAGTAGCTGTCAGGTTGGTTTTTGTACCAGTTCTCATAGAGCTAAAAGCAGAGGAGGCAAAGGAAAATCCAGCTATTTGCTACTTGTTTTTTATACTCACCAACCCAAAATAATAAAAGTGCAAATAAAAAAGAAAAAATTGAGGAAAAGAAATGAAGATGTTCTGAAACACAAAGTCAAAGCATTTGGAGGAACTGCAGGAAAACTCACCAGCGGGTTTCCATCTGACCAGCGGAAGTCTCCTTCAATGGTTCTGTCATTTAGTCCAATCCACTGATACTCTCTGTATTTATCTAAATGTGTAAATGAACCAAATCACTCATTTTATCACATTACGTAATCAGTACACAGAATATTTATTTCCATAGCTATGGTGGGCTGGGAGGTGGCGCTGTTTGATGCACTGTTGCCTTGCAGCAAAAAGGTCATGGGTTCGACCAGAGTCCTTCTGCATGGACTTTGCATGTTCCACTCGTGCATCGTGAGTTCTCTCTGGGTACTCCGGCTTCCTCCCTCAGTCCAAAAACATGACTGGTAGGTTAATTGGCCTCTCTAAATTGTCCTTAGGTGGGTGTGCATGGTTCTGTGTCTCTAGTCCTTCTACCTGTCCATGGTATACCTTGCCTTTCTCCCATGGACTGCAGGAGATAGCGCCATGATGCGCCATGATGCTGACAGATAAGTAGATTGTGAAAGCGCGAGCTTGCACGTTCACGACACTACGGAAGCCGGCAGACCAAACCAGATGAAAGTGCGCATTCAGCGTCTGCTCTGCCGATAATGCAAGCGTAGTAGAAGAAATGTGCTGTTTACCTGTGCAAAGAAAGAAACAACGAAAGAAAAATGTCTGAGGACTTCAGTGTTGAGGAAGAGCATGAGTTCTTTGCCGAGCTGAATGCGCACTTTCATCTGGTTTGGTCTGCCGCGGTTTCCGTAGCGTCGTGAGCTCGCAGGCGCGCGCTTTCAGGAAATCCTATACACTACTGTTTATGCTCTAAAAACATTCTAAATGACTTCGTTTCGAGTAAATTCTGGATGCTACCCACTCAGGACACTTGGAATACATTGGACGAGCAGTATGGAGGAATATTGACACGTTTTTTGTGGACTTTTATGGACCTTTCTGCTTCGGGCACCATAGACCTCCATTATTTGAATGTCAGCAGACAGCAAGAAGCCTCCCAGATCTCCAGATGCATTTGAGATATCAAAAAAGTACTCCAGAGTGTTGTTCAGCATGGGGGTGAGTAGAAAATGAAGGCTAATCATGTTTTGGGTGTACTATTCCTTTAAAGTCAGACCTTCAGAGAGTCATTATATAAATCTGATCCAAAGATGAGCCATGGCTTAATTTCAACACCTGATTGTAGGCATGGCAGAAAACAGCAAACCATCCGACTGAAGTCTTCAAATTTAAAAGCCCATATTTACTTTTCGTCTTCATTTCTTCTGTATCTGACCACAGTTTCCCTTTAAACAGTTTAATATGGTAACAGCCTGCAGATACAGATACATTCAAAATAAACCAATGACATCAGAAAGCTTTATAACGCTGACACTTTAGTTTCTGGTGGCAAGAAATCGACAGTGAGTTAACCTCCACTCTGACTATTTGAAGGAATTTTGATTATTAAGGCTGAACTTCCTTCTTTTTCTGCAAACTAACAGAATTTTGTCAACGTCTGACAGCTGTTAAAACCTTAACCAAAATATGAAGAAGTCTTTGAAACTTCAGTTTTGGGTACAAGTTTGACTTTACTCGAATGTAAAACTTAAAACTACTCTATACTACTATACTCTGCAGAAAACTATAGCGTCACATTTTCCAAACTTTCTGTTTCTTACTTCCTGTAAAACATTTTTTTTTCTTGCTCAGGCTATTTCTTTCTCTTTGGCTCAGAAACCAAAGGGAAATTGTACAGAAACTTCTCCTGTAAGTGTCATTGTTTTGCTTCTGTTTAAGTTTTATCTTTGAGTTTTCATTGGTTTTATTTCCATTTTGTGTTATGCTAGTTATTTTTTATTGTATTTGAGTTCTTAAGTATTTCTTGTTTCCCCTCTGGTGTCCTCTTGTGCCAGTCTCCTTTTCCCTTCTAGACTCCTCTGTCCACACCTGCTCCCAGTCTGCTGATTAGGCTGGTCTTTGTTTCTCTCTCCCATATATGCACCTCCTGCTCAGTCACTCTTGCTGGTTTGTCACCATTGTTGTGAGTATTCCTGGTTCTAAGTTTTTGTGGATTTTGTAGATTTATGTCGTTCGATTTTTGGTCCTTTACCCGTTTTTGTTCTTAAATCTGTAAGTAATTACGTTCAGCTTCAGTGTCTGCATTTGAGTCCTGTCAAACATGACACCCAACTTGACACTAAGGGCCGGATTTATCAAGATCCAATTTTGCGTGCAGTAATTTGCGCTCGCAAACTGGA